TTCGAATTTAAAAAATTAAATTAAATTTTAATCAATCGATAGTTATTTATTTGAAAACTAGCAGTCCAATTTTTATGGGAAAATTAAAATTATTTAATCTTACGTATATTATAGAAACTAGGTTAAAACCCGTAGAAACCACAGTTGATAATTTTAAATAGAATATAATTTTGATTGTCTAATAAAATAAGGTATCATAGTTTAGAAAAAAAAATCATGAATAATGATATTGTATTTATTTTATTAACTTTGTCATTTGTAAGTATTTAATAAGTATTAGAAAGATAACATACACTTAACTACTAAAGGTTTAATAATTTATTATCCACATATAGATATGCAAAAAACACAAATGACAAAGAAGAAAACATTATTGATAAATTGAAATCATAATTAGTGATAAGATAATTTGAAACCATAACTTTGTCCATAACTTGTTTTCCTCTAATGGATTCATTTGTCTATAACTTTGTATCACATGTTTAGCATACAACATTTTGATCATAGTTATCCAAATAATTTGTTAAATAATAATGTAATAAATAAGATAATTAATTTAGTAAGTCTGATAAATAAGGTATGTGAGTTGTAATAAAAAGGAAGATGACTATATATATATATATATATATATATATATATATATTATATATATATATATTGATTATCTTTGGAAAAGCCAAATATTAGGTTTTCAATAACGACTTCATGTATATTTTCTACATCTATTATCAAGCCAATTAAAGGAATAAGAGACAAATATTTCATTTTTCTTTTTATTTTATGACATCATGGATTTAACTTGATTGATGATGAAGAACCAATTATTGTAGATGCATTTATTGATGTCATCACATTAGAAAGTACAGAATATTGTCTTTTATTTTGTAATGCTGAAGTGGTGTAGTTATTGAAACTAATATTATCCGGAAAAAAAAAACAAAATATTGAGAATATATAAATCACTAGAAAATAGTTTAAAATTAAAACGTGAAAACAAATTTTTTTACCATTTGAAATGTTAGATAAAGGAGTTCTAAGATTTATATATGAAGGAGAAGATTGTGGTGGTGTATGTTAGTTTCCACAAAATAATTAGTTTTATATATATCATTAACCTGAATTTGTAAAATATGTAACAATAAAATAATAATAATAGTGAAAAAAGAAATATACATTTGTAACCGGTGTTAATAAATTTTGTGGTAGATGGATTGTCAGCATACCATGAAGTAGACAATTTAACTCTTTTTTATTATGTTATTGTGTTAAAATAGAGCATGTTATTGTAGGAAGGTAAATACAAATAGTGTATTTAGTATTTATAGAAATACACATCTAATTTTGTCTTAAAACGAATATATATATTTCTATTATAAAATCATAATTTTTTTCTAAGTTTCTATTATGTATTTAATATGGTTCTAGAAAAAGTAATGTCATACTCAATTTACGTATAAACCCCCCACCCCCACGATTAAACCCAAACTAAGTTTAGCTCTCTCCATTTCTAGGTATGCGTAATTTGAAGATGGTCACCTGTTTACATCCAAATTTCTTCTCTAATCAAAATACAACGACCAACCACCACCGATCACTGTAAGTTCCTTCGTCAATGTTTTTCAGTTCAACCTAAATCGATTACATCGATATGTTTGGTAATACGTCATTTCGTTCTTGTATCGTTTCTCTAATTGTAGGTATATAGTGATATGTATTTTGAAGATTTGGATTGAATAAAAAATACGAACTTACCTGATACAATCAACTATACAAGATGAGGAATGAATTAAGAGATCAATGACAAACGAAAATTAGGTATGATTGTACGATAAAGATCGCTACTTCTTTTTCCTTATTCTTCTTTTTGACAGAAAATAAATACAAACAAAAAGAAACTTACTTGTTTAATGTGCAAGAAAATCGATGCAAAATGAAGGTAAAGCAGAAGACATAGAAAGCAAAGAAAAAAAAGAATCATTGATATTGGAATATATAATCGGCTACTTCTGAATTTTTCAGAAAGCAAAACTTCAAATTTTGAAATTTGAAAATTCGATTTTTTAGGTGATTTTTTCATATTTTCAAATTGATGTCCTTAATCTTGTACTAAAATATTATATCTTTTCAAATCTTTACCAAAAACATGATGAAAAAAAGAAAATTCGATTTGTATTTTGCATTTTGTTGTTTTAAACTGATTTTATAATGGGGAAAATATTTTCCTGCTGCAATATCTTCATCATCTTCTGAATATGGTAAAATATTTTGGTTCATTTGTGTGATTAACACTTATGGATTATGAAAATAAATGTAAATGAATAAAAGACCCAAAGAAGCATACGGAGTACTTGAGGTCATGGACAATAGATATATACATCAATGAAGTTTGGTCTTTGAGTATTGATTTATTGCTAAAAAAACACCAACAAAAAATATACAATTGAATGTTAATTGTGAAGTATAAACATATACAATAATATATGTTTGGAAAAATATACCGAATTATAACACTATACTTTCAAAATACAATGCTATAATGAGAAAAAACTAAAATTTGAAACTTTCGTTTTAGAACTTGTATAACAATTGTGAAGTATAAGCACATACAGTTATAAAACATACATATATAGCATTGAAAGTACAATACTATAATGAGAAAAAAAACTAAAAATCCAAACTTTCGTTTTTTCATGAAAGTATAATGCTATTTTACAAAACGGGTCTCTTTGGTAGAAAAAATAACATAACTGGTCCATGTGGCATAAAAAACACATAATAGTAAAATACAAAGCTATAAAGCATACTTTCATGCTAACATAAAAAACAAATGTGAATTGCTCTTGCATATTTGAATGTATATTCGCTTTTGCCTATTCAAACAAATGTCAATTCATTTTTGTTAACTGTTTTTTCAAATGATGCAAATTTACAGTCGGTATAGTAATGAGATGGAAGAAAGACAATGAACATAAGTTAAAGAAGAACAACGAAATAACATACCTGATGTGCTTAGCAGATGTGTGAACCAAAAGCGACAAAGAACATAAGTTAAAGAAGAACAACGAAATAACATACCTGATGTGCTTAGCAAATGTGTGAACCAAAAGCGTATTTCCAGAAGAATTGATCGAAGGGGCGCAGAAAGATAAGTGAAAGGACAATAAATTATGATTGATATATATGCAATCTTATCTTTTGTAAGCATAATTGTTGGGATTTATTTAAATAGTCAAAATCAAAGTTTAAAAAAATATTATTTGAATTTGAATGCATAATTTTTTATGGAATATATGGAAATTTTTATTGAATATATGGAAGGTATATTTTGATTTCGAATTGCAGGGAGTATTTATTCTTTAAAATATGCAATCTTATCTTTGTGTTTTAAATATGAAATCCCTGATTTTTTGGTATTTAAATGCAGATAAAACGGATGAAGGTGTTTCAGAAATTGAGTTTAAATTGGAAAGCGGATCACATTCCTGATTTGCTAAGCTCGAAGTTTAATGAAGCAAATGGGCATTTTCGGAAATTCACATAGACATTTGAGCGAGAAAATTCGATTTGAGGAGGCTGAATGACTGCCACGTGGCGTTTTGGTACTGTTTTATTAGAATAGGAGATAAATTATCAATAACAGTAATAAAAAAATAAAAAATACAGAAATTAATTAAGAAAAAATATGAAATAAAAAATGATTTGGATGCCTTTTATACAAGTCTATGTCGTTTTATAAATTTTTTATAAATATTTACATATTTTAATCAGATAGTGTGTTTACAAACATTGTATATTTTAAAATACATATTAATACGTCATTATTTTTTAATTTTCGTTTCCTCAAAATTTGATTAATAATTGAATATTTCTTCTTCATAAATCTAGTAAAATTATGAAATTAGGAGAATTATGAAACATGTGTATACATACCACAATAAAGAATAATAATATGCTTAACTACAACGTTAACGAATGTTTATATAATTGATATATAAAGCCAGTGGTTATTTACGTAATTTAATAATATGATTAATATTTATAAAAATGTAATCGTTCAAACTTTCAAGGATTTTGGAGTAACCGTTTGTTGTTTAGTAACAAAATAGGAAAATATGAGACTTAAACCATAAATGCTAAAACTTAACTCTAAACCATGTAAGGCTAAAGGGTGTGGTTTTACAACTGCCACTTTATAATGGTATCGGCGTATCGCTACCCATCAAACGGAAATTAAACATGAACACTGGAGTATTCGCCGAACGCCTATAACAAAGTAATCGGCAATGCATACTATGTTGTTCGAAATACCAAATGCATTTTTATTCCTAATCAAAAACAACAAATCACATATATTTTAAAGAAAAAACGATATATTTTTATTTTTAATCTAAAACAATAACATGTTTTTATTTGAAATCCAAAAACTATAACTAAATTTATTTTTTACCACAAACAACAATGTACTTTTCATTTCAACTCAAAATAAGATGTCAAAAAAATCGTTTGCCTTCAAACTATTCGACGTCGCTGCATCGCGCGGGTATGCTGCTAGTATATAATCCCGTCCAATGTACTTTTCCTTTACACTCTGATGGCATAAAATCCCGTCCAATTAATCACGGATTTTTGATGATTCAATTTCAAATCCTGAGTAACTGATATCCCAAATAATCAGGGATTTTGTTTCCTTTCTAAATTCCATTTGAGAACGATGTAACAGACAATAAATACTTAATCTTCTCAAAATTTGAAATCCATTGGCTAGGGCTTCAAGCTGCATATATCAAATGAATACTTGCTATGTATTTCATATACATCTCCATCGAAACCATCTCCCTCACCTTCGTCTCTCTCATCCCAATATATTCCTCCGGTTCTCACATCTTTGTAAGTGTTCCTGTCACTAACTCTCTATTTTGCCCTAACCACTTCATACATAAACTCTAGCAAGCAGCAACAACAGTAATCCTCTTCTTGATTAAAAAAATGAGAGCTCCAATATGAGGGGGTATGTTTCTCCCTGTAATGCCAACAATCATTTTATTTTCTTTATTGGTGTCAATAATCGTTCCTATCACGTCGAACCAGCGGCCGATCGAATTCGATTAAGGAACTGACGCCCTTATCAAAACCGCCGGAAATTAACATTGCTGCTGTTCCCGGAGACGATGACGTCGTTGGTGAACAGAACATCGGCGAGAATAATGGAAGAGGTTCGTGGTCTAATATGTTGCCAGAGCTCTTAGGCGAGATAATCAAACGAGTGGAAACGAGTGATGACCGGTGGTCGCTCCGTCGAAATCTGGTTGCTTGTGGATGTGTTTGTAAAGTTGGAGAGAAGTTACGAGAGAGATCGTAAAGCCTCCTATTCACAGCGGGAAGATCACATTCCTTTCTTTGTCTTAAGCAGGTACGATTTGGCTGTATCTTATCTGATTTTATGTTTCAAGCTATATACCTTGATTTTTATGTCGTTGATTCCACAGAGGCTTGAATCAATGAATTAAATGTAGTTAGTTTATTTTTTTCATTTTTTTTGTTAAATTGCTTTAGATTCTTATGTTTATCCAGATGATTATCTGGTTTGTTATGGAGAAGCTTTTGATTAGCTCACACAACTAAAAGCAAGCAACAGAAGTCAAAACTCCATAAAGTCAATTCTATTGTGATAACGATTAGGAACAGTTTTATAGATGCTCGCCTGTGGCCACGGTTGCCAATTTTGACTAGGTCTTATTTTGAAGTATTCTCCAGTAACCACGTCGTTCATTATAATATTGTTTACTTCATCGTCGAATCCACATGGTAAATTAGGGAATATATGCCTAATGATGCTTCGTATATAATTTCTGCAAATTGTTACCTTCTAAGTTTCCATTATTCACTTATTACGCTATAATAGATCCTTGAAATTTATCAATGTTGTTAATGGATGAACATGCTTGATTTATCTAACGAATTTCCATGTCTTTGCAGCCTGGTTTAGGTGATTCTCCGATTCAATGCGTGATTAAAAGAAACAAGAAGAACTCAGTGTTTTACCTCTATCTTGCTGCTACTCCATGTAAGCATCATCGATAGCTTTAATCTCTTTGTGAATCATGTATTATACAACCAGACATGCCAGAAAATGATATTTCTGGTAACTTGTAATTGAAGTATTAATCATTTGGATTCCATTTTTGCAGCATTTACAAACAAGGGTAAGTTTATTTTAGCTGCAAGAAGATATAGACATGGTGCTCACATGGAATACATAATATCACTTGATCCAGATGATTCATCTCAAGGAAGCAATGCTTATGTTGGTAAATTAAGGTAAGTGACTATTTCTTTTTTGTACTTAATGAGCTTAATGGGTTAAGCACTTAATCTATACACCTATGCATTGATGTTTCTTTATGACATAATATGTACATGATGACTATTTTACCCTTCACATGTAACACCCATAAAATTCAAGCCAAATTTAAACTTTTTAATACATTTTAAAACCATTAAGTTATTACAGTTTGTTTTCAAAATGGTTCAGACATCAGAGTATCCCCAGAATCAATCATGAAAAATATGAGGAGGTGCACGATCACGCCTTCGCCTTCCCGCGATCATCAGAAATACCTGAAATAAAATCAACAACTGTAAGCCCGAAGCTTAGTGAGTTTCCCCCAAAATACCAACCCATACTAGCCAGAACAAATATCATATCAATACAAATACATAACAGCATGCATAATGAGTCATCAGCCTGACTGGACCGCCTCACAGGCCTTCAGTCTATCTGGACTGCTCTTCGAGCCTTCGGCACGTCTGGACCGCCATGCAGGGCCTACAGCCTATCCGGACCGCTTGTCGGGGTATGTTGGCCTACAGCACAAAGCAGGACCGCCTCAACCCAACCCCTAATCAAACAAACATGTGCACATAAATATCATACGCTAGCTTATTTCATATAACAGTCAAACCGATCTAACAGATCACCAATCATAGCAACATCCCAATAACCGGGATACAGACCTAACCGGTCACTAACATAGCATCATCCTATAACCAGGACAATCATGTGCACATAGACATCATATAACACTAGCATGTATATATATAACAGTCAAACCGATCTAACAGATCACAAAGCATAGCAACAATCCTATAATCAGGATATCGACCTAACAAGTCACTAACATAGCATCACCATCCTAACTACCAGGATATAAATCAGTAAGCATAACATGCAATAATCTGAATACAATCCATAAAGGGCCGGCCTTGGTGCCTTAGACCCTGTTGATATAGTGAGGAGAACTCACATGGCACTGCTGAAGTCCCGCAGGTACACTCCAGCTGCTGATTCATAGATTCCCAAACTGTCAAAATCAAACAATACCCAATTAATAATTGGGTTCCAAGCCCAAAGTCCAACTCACACTCCAAAGGCCCAAAAGTCAAGTAATGGGCCAAAGCCCAATATATGGCCCAATTTTCCAAATTGGGCCCAGACCTCTACATGGTCTTTCCTTAAGGCCCATCCAATTATTCCAGTCCAATTCCCGTGGCCCAATATCACATAATCATAAAGGTCCAATTATGGCCCATCTATGGCCCAATTTTCCAAATTGGGCCCAAGTCGTGACATGGGCCTTATCCTAAAACTCATACAATTATTTAATCCATTTACTTATTCTTGGAAAGCCCATTAATAGTCCAATCACCAAAACCCAAAAGAAAGGCCCAACACAAAGCCCAATTGAAATTAGGGCTTCACATAAATTGATGATTAGGGTTAAGTGTTTCTTACTTAACCCATTAAGGACTTAATCCATTAAGGACTTAATCCATTAAGTCCATTATTGCCTTAAGCTAGTTTGCCAATGATTATTAATTATTATTTTAGGTTTAATAATTAATTCTTGTATGTGTCCCAAACGATTCCCACAATTAGGGTTTTATGCCCTTAGGGTTTTCCAAACCCTAATTAGGGTTATCCAACCCAATACTAGCCCATTAGTCCATTAGTTGGGCTTTTAGGTCACATTGGGCCTTATTGGCCCATTAGGGTTCCATTGGGCCCATTAGGGTTTAGTAGTCCCTTGTCCAAACATCCCAACGAGTCACAAACCAAACAAAGCACACCGCCACCCGACACGGCGGCCGGTGGCTGCAGGAGGCGGCAGCCACCACCTTACGGTGGTGGTTTAGACTTTTCTTTCATTATTCCACTTGTTACAATTTACAATACCATCCGATTAACACACATACAAACACTAATACACACACAAAAAAAAATAACACCCTACAAAAGCATACACACCCTCCATGGTGGTCCTTTAGGCGGCAGCCACCATGGCCGGCAGCCATGGTGGTTTTTCCTTGGCTTTTTCTCCGGCAGCAGCAACTCGAACACATGTAGACTCAGAACACGCACAACAACAGTGGTTAACGAATGGAAAAGAAGAAGAGGGTGGCAGCGGGTGTTCCCGGCGGCCACTCGATCTCGCCGGAGGGAAACAACCGCAAGTGTGGAGACGACAACAACTTCCTTATTGGCGACAGCCACCATGGCCGGCTGCCATGGTGGTTCATCACGCCTTTTGCTTGACATAATCCACTCCCACATGAAATCGTATATCCAACCACGAACCTAACCACCATCCCCCATCGGCGTGCGGCGGACGGAAATACCACAGGAGGTGGTCACTCAGAGCTTACGGCGGCGTCGGGTACAGCCAAGCGTAGCACGACTGGAACGAAGAGAAGGTGTGATTGGGGTGACGGTAGCGATGCACGACGACTACACTGTCTGTGCGCTTCCACCAGCCGCGACGTCAGTCTCCGGGGAAGCTTCACGTCAATCTCCGGTACCGCCGATAATAAGGATGTGCAAGGTTGACTTCGTCGGCGGTTGGCGATGGTGCTCCAGTGAGCTCTGATGGCGACAAGCATGGCGGCTGGAGAGAGGTAAAGTGAAGGTGGCGGCCGAATGAAGCATTTAGAGTTAGGGTTACGGAATGGTGGACGTTAAATACCGACTCCATTGAAATATTATCCCATATTGACACATTTAGTCCCTCATTGTCCTTCTTTCTTCAAATTCAATCCAGAAATTACCATTCCCACCCTGTCTCCTAAAATCCTTACAAAATAAATCCGATATTTACTTTTTAACCCCTGTTTCCATAATTTCTTTTATATTAAGCCCCAAATAATACCAAACACTCCTTGACTTATGAAAATCTTTACAAATTAAGTCCCAAAATTACACTTTAACCCCTGGAGATTCAATTCTTGCCATTTGACTTCCTAAAACCAACACCCCACTAACCATTTAATTATTCTATTTAAAATGGGGTGTTACATCACATGTCAGATTTTCTTGGCACAAACTTCACAATATATGACAGGCAACTACCACACAATGGTGCAAAACACTTAAGTAACAAATCTGTGAGGCAAATTGCAAGCAAACAAATAAGCCCACAAGTTCCATCAAGCAACTTTGAAATTGGAGAAACTTCATACAAATTCAATATTTTGAAATCAAGGGGTCCAAGAAGAATGATGTGTTCTCTAACATCCACATCAACATCACCAGATCAACAGTTTGACTCTGGTCAAACTCAAACCCTTTTGAGAAACAAAGCTCCAAGGTGGCATGAATATTTGTAGTGTTGGTGCTTGAATTTCCATGGGTGGGTGACAGTTGCATCGGTTAAGAATTTTCAGTTGGTGGCAACATTGGAACCGAGTCAACCAGGTGGGAAAGGTGATGGTGAAACGGTTTTGCTTCAGTTTGGAAAAGTTGGTGATGATATGTTTACCATGGATTATAACTATAAATAAATAGTTCAAAGTTTTCAAAGTATAATTCTTTAATAAAAAAATTTATAGAATAAAATAACTGTTTGCATATAGTTTTTTTTCATATATTTGAGTAGTCATTATGATTCCGAATTACAAAGTGTTCTTTTTGTTATTTTTCTTTTTTCTTTATAATCTGTGGTTTCCATGGGTTTTAAACCTAGTATATATATATATATATATATATATATATATATATATATATATATATATATATATATATAGGATGTTAACTGTTTTTGTGACTCTTGCATTGTATAATGGGCTGGGTCCAACGACATGCATGTAGGGTTGCGCCCAACTGCATGAGAGGGTTGGAACCATTATATAATAGGCTAGGCCTATTGTATGACGGGCTAGGCCTAATTATATGTTAGGTTGGGCCCATTGATTAGGAAGGGCTAGACCCATTGTTATGGGTTGGACCCAATATGCGGGCTAGACCCAATTATCTGTATGGTATATGGTATTTTGGAGAAACTCATTAAGCTTTGTGCTTACGGTTTCATGTTTATGGTTTTAGGTACTTCTAGTTCGAAAGGGAAGGGCCTGACGTGACTACACAACATCCCCTAGAGTTTATTCCGCATTTGAATTGTCGTGATTTTTACTCTGATTTTTAAATACTATTTTTCATATTGAATGATTTTGCGAATAAAATGTTATATGAATTGATGTTTTAAAAATGAAAATTTTCCTTTGATTTTTGGGTTGTGACAAGTTGGTATCAAAGCCTTGGTTTGAGGGATTCGAGCATACTCTCGGGTGTGACCGAACTCAAACTGATGAATTGGTAATCTTTTGAAAGGAAAAAAAATTTATGAAAGGATTTTTATAAAGAAAAAGGGGTTGTGATGCGTGCAATCAACCGAGCTCAAGTAAGTGATTCCCAGAATATCCATACATGTTGCTATGTTATATGATATGAATGCTTGCATGCTAGGATAATGCTAAGGGTACTTTCAGGAATTACATGATAGACTTGCCTGATATGTGATGCCTCGTAGCCTATGAGGAATTGGATGTTATGCTAGATTTAGAATCTATGTTGGTAGAAGTAATTGCTAAGTTTATGCTTTAAAAATCGTACACGATTAGGATCATATAGGCCTAGATTGATTGATTTAGCCTTATTTCATGTTCCTTGTCTGGTTGTGATCCTAGGGTAGAGTCATTTATGTTGGATAAGGTGTCTAAGTCCATTACTATTTTTGGTATGTACTTGACCCGACCCGGCATGGTCCATTTGGGTTGCATGGCATCATGCATTTGGATAGACTAAATGAGAGAAATAACACTTGTGGTTTATTAATATATTATAAGTTCTAATATATTAATAGTATTATTTAATTAGTATTGATCAAGAATTAATCTAGAATTAATTAAGTGATCAAAAGGTGACTAATTAAATATATGGGTTGATTATGTAAATCATCCATAACTTGTATAGTGGGCTAAAAGGCTCCATGGATTATCAAGTTGGGTTAAACCCATTGGATGCTCCATGTAGGCTCCATGGGAGTTACCAACCCATGGGTCATGGAAATGAAGAGTCATGTCACATTAGGGTTTACATGGTGTAACCCTAGATGTGACACACTATATAAGCAACATGTTCTCCACCAAAATCGGCTACACATAGTTACAAGAGGGCTAGGCCGATTTTTACAAGTGTTTGCATTCTCTCAAAGTCATTCCAAAGCATTTGGTGTTGTGTGAAGCATTTGAGGCATCACACTTGGGGTGCTAGGCTCTCAAGGTTTCAAGGAATCATAACAACTACAAGGTATGTAATTCTAGCTATCTTTTTATATTATAATGTTCCCCATGTATGCTAGATAGGTTTATGAACCTTGGAAAAGTATTTTGCATGTATTTTAGACAAACATAGATCCAAGGTTTTCTAGGGTTGCATGTACACTTAGGAGTGTTAGAATGCTCAAAACCCATCAATTTATTCGACAATCTATTTTGATCCTGTATTGTGTATAATTTGCATACATAAGGCAACCGACGGTAAGAGTAGAAGTTCCTAGCATGGTAGTAGTAAGTGAGCTTGGGATGTCCTTTGTTTGCCTTGTGGCTTGGAGTGTTACTGCAAGAATGCTGCTTGCCTTGTGCTCTATAGGACCCTTAGTGATGTGAGTCAACTATTAAGTGAATACTTTAAGTCACATGCTACAAAGGTTAAATAATCTCATAGTGATGGATTCGACTATATTGCGCAACTCTCGTTTTAGTCTAACCATTGTAGGGTTGAGTCTTTTACTCGAAGGATTATCTAAGCTTTGTTGCATGTGATTGTATTCATGAAGTAGTTAGCTGACATTAGTGGGAGTTCTTCAGCAACTGATGGCAGGGTGAGGCCGAGAACCTAGGAGAGCCTAGGAAGTGCAGTATGTTTCATATCTGGACTCCAACACCTTTTGATCAAGTTTATAATGTTTTTTTGGACCTCATGGACTAGGAAGATTTTGATCTTTTGCCTTCCTTTTCAGCCATGCAAGTTATTTTGGTCATGTAGGCCATTTTGGTGTATTAAAGTTTAGATCTTAAAAGCTTGAAACATTATTATGAATAAAGTTGGAAACTTTATGTAACACCGTAATTTTTCAAACAATTTTTCACTTTTAAAAATATAATTTCATTCACAAATACTCTCAAATCTCAATGTACCACATCTCAAATCCATAAAAAAACACATCCCAAGATCAAAATGTATAAAACTCCAATAGTGTGTACTGATCATGCCGGCGCCTTCCCGCGATCCTCACTGGTACCTGAAACACATAACACAAAACACTGTAAGCATAAATGCTTAGTGAGTTCCCCAAAATACCACATATAACACATATTAGCCACTCGAGGCCATAACTCTGTGGGCCCACTGGCCCTAACTCTGTGGACCCTCTGGTCCTAACTCTGTGGACCTTCCGGTCCTAACTCTGTAAACTCTGGAATACACACAGCATAAATCACATAGAAATAATGCAGTGCAACACATCACATACATAGCATACAAGATACTCTGTCACATAACTCTATTTACCACTCAAGGTAAAGTATAGTGAGAAGACTCACCTCGGGTAACTCGGTAAATCTCGAACTCGGTAAAATCTGGTCTAGCCCCCGCCTAATCACATGGAATAAGCACTCTAATCAATACAACCCTCAAGGCTAGACTAATCCCTCTCTTAGTACTCTCAGAAGGGTAAAAGACCATTTTACCCCTCTCATGGCCGAAAGACCCTAACATTGACCAAACCCTAAAAGTCAACAAAAGTCAACGGTGAACTTTGACCAAACTCGCCGAGTGCACTCGTGTGACTCGGCGAGTACATGCATGTCTTCTTCGGCCCTGGTCCTCACTCGACTCGCTGAGTCAACCCTACACTCAACGGGTTGTCACCGGTCGCGAGTCGCGGGGCAACCTGACTCGACTCGTCGAGTCCCTTATGGGCTCGGCGAGTCCCTCCCATGAAAACACTCAAAAGATCCTTTGAGGTCAGATCTGCTTCACCAACCAGTAGATCCAACCTTCTAACACTCGAAAGTCACGTAAAGGTTAAAACTTTACGTTCATGCAATGCTTATAAGACCAAAAATGGAGAAATAACCTTTTAAATGGGGTTTTACTCTCAAGGCTCACATGAAAGCTCATAAAGCTGGAAGCTTGGGACCTTTTGGACCTCTCAAGGTCCAGATCTATCATCTATACCCAAAGGGACCTCATATGCTTCACAATCTAACTCAAAATTGTGCAAAGGAAACCCTAGATTCAAGGAATCTATCAAATACACGAAATGGGAAGGAACTTGTACCTCAAAACGTGAATCTCAGTGTGAACAACACAGATCCAAGCTCCACAATTAGCCTAGCTTGTTCTACCTCCTTCCTTCTTGCTAAAACACACAAGAAATGGTGAGTTAGCCTTCCTCTTGCACCACAACGATCTCTCTGCTCTCTAGGGTTTCTCAGGGGTGAAGTGGCCGCAAATGGAGGCCATAAAGGCCTTTAAAAGGGATCAGGCCCTGAGATTTAGGGTTTCACTTTACAGCGCGGACTCGCCGAGTCCACGCATCGACTCGTCGAGTCCCTCATTAATCCAGACAAGAATTCGCGATCCTACTCGGCGAGTCTGAGCGCCTACTCGCCGAGTCCCTCCCTAAAACTCAAGGTAAATACTTAAAATAAGATACCTGGGAATCCGGATGTTACAATTCTCCCCCACTAGAATCAGACTTCGCCCTCGAAGTGTTGCTCAGCAAACAACTCTGGATGCTGCTCCCGCATCTCCAACTCCGGCTCCCAAGTCAGCTCGGACCCTCTCCGATGTTGCCACTGGACCTGCACCAGAGGCACCTCCTTGTTCCTCAGAACCTTGATCTTCCGATCCCGGATCGCGATTGGCCTTTCAGCATAATTCAGGTTCGCATTCACTTGAATATCCTCCAGCGGCACCACCGCCGACTCATCGGCTATACACTTCCTCAACTGAGACACGTGGAAGGTATCATGAATCTGACTCAACTCCTCGGGTAGCTCTAGATGATATGCTACCTTTCCCACCCTCGCGGTCACCCTGAACGGGCCAATATACCGGGGCCCCATCTTGCCCCTCTTCCTGAATCGAATCACTCCTTTCCAAGGGGACACTTTCAGGAGTACGAAGTCTCCCACCTGGAACTCAAGCTCGGATCGTCGCTTTATCCGCATAACTCTTCTGGCGACTCTGAGCCGTCAACAACCTCTGTCTAACCTGTTGTATCTGCTCGGTCGTCTGAAGCACTATCTCAGTGTTGCCCATCACGCGCTGCCCTACCTCTCCCTAGCAAATGGGAGTCCGACATCTCCTCCCGTATAACAACTCGAAGGGAGGCATACCAATACTTGAATGGTGGCTGTTGTTATAAGAAAACTCAGCCAACGGCAGATACGTGTCCCAACTTCCCCCGAAGTCCAACACACATGCTCGAAGCATG